TCAAAGTTTAATGTGTATCTAGGATTCACTTAATGCCCTGTTTCTTTCTGTTTTCTTCTGTTTCTTTCTTCAGGCCTTCGAGTATATTTAATGGCTTTCTAAAAGTATCGCCTTGGGACAATGCTTTGGTTATTGTTCGTTGTTGTTTTTTTTTTTTTTTACCAGCGTTATTTTTCGTTGTTTAAATTGCATTTTCTTCCGGAGAAAAAATCCACAAATTCGCTTTTTATTTGAATCTTTCATTATATTGGTACTTTTTGAATTAATTGACGTCCAACATCCATTAAAAGTTTACCCTATACTTTAGTAATGTTATTCTCTTCATCTGTTGTTTCTTTTGTGATTTTTTTTTCCCCTTCATAAGATTTCTTCTACGTGCCTGCGTCGAACACTATTGGGTCAATATTTTATTTTATTGTTTTTTATTTTTGCTTTGGATAAAGACGAGGAATGACGTGTGCGGGGTATGACGTGTGCGCGGTGATGAGAAAATAGTGGCTTTTGGTTGTAGGGTTAATTAATTTATAGGGAAAATTAATCTTTTGATCCCTCAACTTTTAACTCAGTTATGACTCGATCCCTCAAGTTTGACTTGGTATGACTCAGTCCCTCAATTTCTAACTGGGTTGAAACTCAATCCCTAATTTTTTCCTATTTAATAAGTTAATCCATGTCATATACAACTCACCTTGAATCATCACCCAATCACCCTATATGTGCTGACATGGCTTCTAAATAAGCTCTGCATTCATCAGTTGTGACTCTCCCCTGTTTCATTATCATTTTCCTTCTTCTGCGAATCATTTGTGAGGCCAAGGTGTAATTTACAGTATGTATGCAGTGTAAAATTACACACACACCTGCGCAAATCAATCAAAATTAAAGTGGGGGGAGGAGTTGTGCTTGAATTGAAGGAACAGATTTTTCTTGTGAAGATGGAATTGCATTTGCACAGCTTAACATGTTCCTTCAGTTCCATTCCATGAGCTTCAGCTTCGCTTTTCCCCTGATTTTCATCGTTATTATATCGGTTCTTGGTGTGATACTTAGATATTGTGAAGAATAATAATATCTTATTGTAAATCTTTCTCCATGTCATGTTAAACCCACTGCATCTACTGTCTGTATAGCCTCTCCATTCATAAATTTAATTACGACTCCCCTACCCACACTTTAATTTTGATATATTTGGGCGGGTGTGTAATTTTTCGCTGCATATATACTGTAAATAATACATTCGACTCTGAGAAGAAGAAAGAAAATGAGGAGTAGGAAACAGGGGAGGGTCGCGGCTAATGAATGCAGAGCTTATTTGGAAGCCATGTCAGCACGCATAAGGTGATTGGGTGATGATTCAAGGTGAGTTGTATATAACATGGATTAATTTATTAAATAGGAAAAAATTAAGGATTGAATTTCAATCGAGTTAGAAGTTGAGGGACTAAGTCATACTTGAGGGACTGAGTCATAATAGAGTTAAAAGTTGAAGGACCAAAAGATTAATTTTCCCTAATTTATAAATATTAAAAAATTTATTTGTTGAATATTATATTTTATCAGTATTTAATTGCATAGTCATCACTTAAGTTTGATGAGTAGACAGTATTTTTTTTTTTTGTTAGATAAAACTCATAGTATTTAGACTTAAGGACAAAAAGTGCACTTTATAAATTTGAGGGACCAAAATAAAATTTGATGCAAATGCAAAGGATCAAATGTAAACTTTAACTAATGAAAAATATAAAAAGAGAAAAATATTTTCAGCGATAATAAGAGAAATATAGTAAATATTATGTCTACATCTCAAGCTGCATATCCGGAACAATTGCATACAGTTTAAACTAAATAGGCATAGGTTTGGGGGGAAAAAAACTAAATGGGCATAAATTAAAACAAGGCTTTCAAAATAATATATTTTTACGATGACCCGAACAATACGGAAGAAAACTATTGGATATATATATATATATATATATATATATATATATATATAAACCATTGGACAGCTATAGGCTACCATCCAAGAAGTTCAACAGATATTGAAATTCATTATAATAATAAATATTATATTTGAAATTAAGTAGAAAATGACATTAAAATTATAAATTCTTTTTAAAAAGCTACAGTGATCTGATTAAAAATTAGGTAAAAATACAAGGACATGTTAAAAAATACAAAGACATGATCATAAATCGAGTAAAATTATAGAGTGCTTGGTTCCATTAGCAAGGGGATATATTGCATCTTCTTAGAGGGTGTTCAGGAATAAGCAAAAGCACTTTAAAAAAGTTTTCATATAAGTTGAAACAAAATTTCTCTTATATACTTATCTCATATACTGTAAAATTAATTTTAAAATCATAGTTTGATTTCTACTCAAACACTCTTTAATAAAAAATCTCGAGTTTATACTTGAAAATGCACCAAGGTAAGTGGTTTGACTCAATTTAGATTAGTCTAGGGTTCAATCAAATCTTCAAGTATGAGGCAGGCTTAGGATATTAAGTGTTCAAAGATTAAGTTGATTATATTCAATGCAACTTAATTTTTATACTTTAATCATTTAAAATATTAGTTTTTATGTTTTAGAAAATGAAATTATATATTTTATGAAAATTTTAAATTAAATGATTACAACTATAAGAATTAATTTGGAGTGAGTTAATGCCAAGAGATTAAGTTTCAATTAAGTCAAAACTACAGAATATGAATCGCATTAAATCAAAGTTTAAGGTTATAATCAAGTCAAAACAAAAAAAAAATACTCCTCCGGTCCTTAATATAAGACTCATTTAACTAATTTGATTAGATTAAGAAAGTTAGGTGAGTTAGCTAATTATAAAAAATGTGACACATTTTTCCTAAAATACCATAATCATCTTTCCTAATACCCCATCTCCCTCTTCTACTTGATTATGGTTGAGGGAGTATCCATAGAAGTAATTTAGAGAAAATTAATAAATATGAGAAATAAGTCTTATATCTAGGATCAAAACTAATTCAATAATTGGGTTCTATATTAAGGACCGGACGAGTAATAATAATAATCTTCCCAAGCTTCTACCGATGAAGGATCATATGAGGAGGCATTTTGGTGATGATTTCATCCGGACTTAATATAGCTGGAGGGACAGAGAACTCAGAAGTAACAGTGGAATGGGCAATGTCGGAGCTTCTGAGAAAGCCTCCCGGAGATATTCACGGAGGCGACGGAGGAGCTGGACAGAGTGATCATCGGAAGAGAGCGGTAGGTGGAAGAAAACGACATGCTTAACTTACTATATAGTTCAGCAAAATATTGTTGAGTGTTAATAATAGAAATATAATAGATATTGTGTCTATATCTTAATTTGCATCCCATATATCAAAATAATTTAAACTGGAGAGAATTATAATAAGATCTCCAAAAGAAAAATTATCAGTAAGCCTCAATAACAAATGAACGGTTATCATTTTCTACCTTGAAATTTATTACTCATTATATCCTTAATATAAGACCTAATTGTTCAATTGATTTTGGTTCTAAATATAAGACCCATTTCTCATATTTATCAATTTTTTCTAAATTACTTCTATGGATAATCCTTCAACTATATAATAAAATAGAAGAGGGAGAGAGGATATTAAAAAAAATAATTATGATATTTTAAGAAAAGCATGTCATATTTCTTATAATTAAGTAGCTTATCTAATTTTCTTAATCTAATCAAATTAGTTAAATATACCTTATATTAAGAACCGTAAACTGCTTTGTTATTATTGAGAGTTTTTAATAATTATGTTTCTTCTTTGTGCTTTCACAGCAATTCTCCTTTTAAACTATAGGCATTATAAGAAAACAAAAAAATAGAGCTTACAAAATAATATATTGTTACGATCACAATGCAGCTAGATAACGTAACGGTAGAAGGAACAATGGGAAGAAAACTGTCGAATGCATGTCCGCGCACACAACTCAAGTTGTTCAGCAAATATTGAAAATTTATTGTAATACTTCCGGTCCTAATTATAAGAGCCAATTAATTAATTTGAGAAGATTAAGAAAGTAGGTTGAGTTAGTTATTTGTCCTAAATAGGTGTTGTCTTTCCTAAAATATCTTTATTAATCAAGTATATTGACTAAAACTATTATTGTTAAAGAGGCTACTTTGAAAAACATATATATAAATATGAGAGATAAAGTGGATTGGGGTCTTATATTTAGGACCAAAATAAAAGTCAAACAGGGTATTATATTAAGGACCAGAGGTAATAATAAATATGACGTCGGAAATTAAATAGAGAAATGAAATTGAAAATTATAAATTATAAATCTATTTGGAAAACTATAAAGACCTGACAGGTGAAACTTATGAGTGCATATTAAAAAGAAATATACATATATATATATATATAAACACTTGATTAAAAATTGGACAAAATTTTAGAAACTTGTGTATTAATTTTCCCAATAAATTAATTAATCATACAAAGGTATGCACAAATAGGACACTTTTTTCTGGGGGAAAAAGATATCAACTTCCGAAATGAAGCCTTTAATCATCATAAAAATGAACAGGATACATCTGAAAAAGATTCTCCATGTATCATTACATTTTTCAATCCTAAAAGGGACAAGTGATGAATGTTAAAAAAAATTAACTGAGGTTAACATTACATTTTCTTTGTATCTTTTCTTAAACATAATTCTTTTTTTTCCTTTGCTAGACACAAGTTATCTTTTTATTGAAAATAATTCGATTCGAGACATTTTTAGCTACTGGATACTAAAATGTTTGTATTTCTCCATACTGAAATTATTTAACCATTATTTTATCACGTTGTAATGAATTATCTTATCACTAAGATATTGAGTGCTCACCAAAAAGGGCAAAAAAGAAAGACTCCTTTGCTTTCGCAAGTCAAGGTCGTGTTTTCATGGCATATAAATATACCCTTTGATTGGCCAACACAAATCCCTTCATTAACACGACAGATTCACACAAATCATCACTAACCATATGGCAATGGAATTGGTGGGCCTTCCCACGGCAGCAGCCGCATGGCTGGCAACCTTGGCCTTGCTCCTCCTCTTCGGCCGCCACCTCCGCCGCCGAAAATTCAACCTGCCACCAGGCCCAACGCCCTGGCCTATCATTGGCAACCTCAACCTCATAGGCCCCCTCCCCCACCGATCCATCCATGCCCTCTCACAAAAATACGGCCCCATCATGCACCTCTGGTTCGGATCCAAGCTGGTCGTGGTCGGCTCCTCCGTGGAACTGGCAAGAGAGTTCCTCAAAACCCACGATGCCGCCTTGGCTGGCCGACCCCAGTTCGCCGCTGGCAAGTACACCACCTACAACTATTCCGATATCACATGGTCTCAGTACGGCCCATACTGGCGACAAGCTCGCAAAATATGCCTCACAGAACTGTTCAGCGCGAAACGCCTAGAATCCTACGAGTACATCAGAAGAGAAGAACTGAAAGATTTTCTGAAAGAACTTTACGATTCAGCGAACAAAGCCATCGTACTGAAAGACCACCTTTCTACTCTGAGCCTGAACGTGATAAGCAGGATGGTGCTGGGGAAGAAGTACCTGACGGAGAAGAAGAGCCAAACCGCCGTGGTTTCGGCGGAGGAGTTCAAGAAGATGCTGGACGAGCTGTTCTTGTTGAACGGAGTGTTGAATATCGGAGACTTCATTCCATGGATCAATTTCCTGGACTTGCAAGGTTATATCAAGAGGATGAAGGCTGTGAGCAAGAAGTTCGATAGATTCATGGAACATGTTTTGGATGAACATAACGAAAGAAGAAGAGGGAATCCAGATTATGAAGCTAAAGATATGGTGGATGTGCTTCTTCAGCTTGCCGAGGATCCGACGCTCGACGTCAAGTTCGAGAGGCATGGAATCAAAGCATTTACTCAGGTCAATTTTTTTAATTATTCTTCATTTAATTTTTTTAACCTAAATTAGTACTCTATGTCACTTGTGTGTCGTAATTAAGGAAGAAAAAACAAATGAAGGTGACCAAGAATTTGAGAGATGGATGCGACTAAGTGATTTATTAAAGGATACGGTACAGAGCTAGTAATAACGTACGTGTTGATGATTATTAATTGATATTCCCTCGCTCCCTTTTTTAGTTTTTACAATGAATATTTGATCAAATCATGTGAATTAAAAAAATTAGTTAAAATTGATTAAAAATAATAAATATGTAAAAATTATAAGTTTTGTCTCAAAAATATGCTTAGTCATGGGGTGGGAGGAGGTACAAGAGAAAGAATAAAAAAAATGAATGAATACTATTTTAAAAAATGAGAAAATAAATATATTAATAAAATATTTTTATAGCGGTTTTTCTTATGCCGATTAATTGTTACAAGAGCTATACATATGGTTTGACATTATTGATTGAGACGCATCATTTTGGTCCGTTTTATTTGCTTCTGTTCTACGAATTAATGGTCTTTCCTTCACTATTTGATTGTATAATATTCTTTTTCGAATTCCAAATATAAGACCCATTTTATAATATATAAAATGAGTTTTATATTTTAGACAAAAAGAGTAATAATTATGACGTGTTTGAAGATAAAAGGGAGGCAATAGTATGACGCAAACGTGTGAGACACTGTACGCTAGTGCTCAAGATTTATTAAATAAAAAATGTTGTATACAAGATGACAAATAACTTTGTTACAAAGCAGGACACGTTTTCCTTATAGGATAAGGAAGAATCCAACAAAGAATAAAGGACATTCCTCCTATTTGCCAATTACAGTTATGCTCTAACATTTGAGAAATTAAAGGATCCTTGTGGAAAGACGTACGGATCGTTAGAATAAATTCTCAGGCTCGTTACTCTTGAATGAACAATTTTCTGGGCAGTTTGCGACTTAGGACATTTTGATGATAATGATGATATGTGTCAGGACTTAATAGCTGGAGGTACAGAGAGCTCAGCAGTAACAGTGGAATGGGCGATGTCGGAGCTTCTGAGAAAGCCGGAGATATTCACGAAAGCGACGGAGGAGCTGGACAGAGTGATCGGAAGAGAGCGGTGGGTGGAAGAAAAAGACATCCCCAACCTTCCCTACATCAATGCCATTGCCAAAGAAACCATGAGGCTCCACCCGGTGGCTCCGATGCTGGCTCCCAGACGAGCCAGAGAAGATGTCAAGGTCTCTGTTTCCGCCGGCGGCTACAACATCCCAAAAGGAACTCAAGTCCTGGTTAACATCTGGACCATCGGAAGAGATCCTGCAATATGGAAAATCCCAAATGACTTCGAACCAGAGAGGTTCTTATCAGGCAAGAACATCGACGTGAAGGGACATGACTATGAGCTGTTGCCATTTGGAGCAGGAAGAAGAATGTGTCCAGGTTATCCTCTGGGGTTGAAGGTGATTCAGACGAGCTTGGCCAATCTGTTGCATGGCTTCCATTGGAGACTCAAGGATGGTATGAAGAAGGAGGATTTGAGCATGGAGGAGATTTTTGGGCTCTCTACTCCCAAGAAACTGCCTCTTGAAGCTGTGGTTCACCCCAGACTTGCTGCTCATCTTTATTATTAAATCAACGAGCTCCCTTATTATCATGTTTAGTTTCATCATCTCTAATAATAAGATTCTGGGTTTTTGTTAAGACCTGGATAAGTTGTTTCAAACCAAATCCTCCGTCAAGTCCAAAACTTGTTTTAGGTTGTCGTGTCCTGGTTGACCTGGATGCATTTATCTTAATTGGGACCAAAATCATCGTTCTCAGATAGCTAGCTTGCTTCTATTTTTTTCTGGCACCAGAGAGGGATGTCCAGATATTCTTGCTGGACTTGTCCTACTACTGAGTTCTGTGACCGTACCTCCCACAAGAGAAACATATCAAACTTATCACCCCTTCATACTAAAATGTTAGAAGTTGAGTTCTGAAAATAATTACCTTATCAACTATTTATTTTCTTCTGAAGTTTGCATATTATCTCTCCCTCTTTTCGTTCTTGTGTTCACCTTCTCACTTGCAACTTCAACTTCATTCAGACTACTTCAGTCAATCCTTAATTAGTCCTTCCCACTCTACCTTCTATCCTCTAAACAATAGAGAGCGTCAGTACAGTTGTAATTAAACAAAGCACGGCTTCATTAATGGCATGTTTGGTTTGATTACATAATAAAAGATATTGTTATATTATGCTTAATAACAGAGAAACGAATGATGGAAAATTTTAAGCCCAATTAAGACGTTGCCAAAAGACATTCAAGGATTTAAATACTAGCTGTTATATCAGTATCCCACTTCCATGACGAAGTTGCCTCAGACTAGAGATGAAGACTTGATCATTGAGTGTATGAAGTTTGGGAGAAGACTTTGAGATAAGTCTTCCTGTTTTTCATGTCTTATTGTTCCGAAAACAAGTGATGAAAGTAATTAAGATGTTGAGTTTGCCGTTGTAAATAGCAACTAGGAAGATTTGTTATGAACTCCCAAGAAATGAACATAATTATTAAAAAATCCCATCAACAACATAGTAGTTTCTAATGACAAGTTCCAATATAAAAAATGACCACTGTTTATTTATTATTGAGACTTACTAATAATTATTTTCTTTAATTGCTCCCAGCAATATTAGTACTAATTTCACACTTGGCCTTCTCACGCAAAATGACATTACACGTCAGGTCATGGGCGTCGTTTGCGCTTTAGCGTGCTGCTTCTCTCTAACGCTTTCTGGTGGCTTCTTATTTAGTTTTCTTGCTATTCATAGTGCAGTGCATAACGTGTGTCGTTTTGAACGCGTTGTTTGTTTGTGTCGTTTACTGGGCGCAAAAGGGAATTAATTAACCAAGTCATGGGTTTGGCCAAAAAAACAAATTAACCAAGTCATGGCATGCAACGGTGGCAGAAATAAACTGTACTTGTTTGCTTTCTGCTTTGAGAAGGATCAGAGAAATTATTGGAGATTGGGTAGGAAAGTTAGGCTTCTAATATTGTCGTACGTTCGAATGGTATCTGTATTTTTCTGATTCTATTTACAACTCAATTCCAACAGCTCTTCAACGTTCTAATATATGTTAGATTATTCAGTTCTAAGTTTTTTACACCCTTAGATAACTCCATTGCTCAAATTTTATTACACATTTCAAGTTGTTTCTAACCAAACCCGTCAAGTCCAAAACTTGTTTTAGGTTATGTTCAAAATCATCAGTCTGAAATTGTTTGACAGATTCTGTTTTAGGTTGTCATGTCCTGGTGGTTGTCCCGGACGCAATCATCTAGGTAGCTACAGACCAAAATCTTCTCCCATAGGTAGCTTGATTCGTTTTTCTGGCACCAGAGGCATGTTCAGATTCTTGGTTGGCTTGTCCTACAGTTCCATGACCGTACCCTGCTCCCACAAAGAGAAACATATGAAACCTATGCCTTCGTCCATACTAAATAACACAGTTTCTGTTTCAACAGAAAATGTCATATATTGGGATTGCCCTCTCTACTACCCTTTCAGTTTTTCCCCACTTTTCAAATGTGTTTTTTTCGTTTCGTTTTATATTCTACCTAAACGAGTAATATTTTGATATTTCATAAATAACAAATAATGCAATTTTTAATGTTTTTATGATTATTTTAAAGAATCTGTATGTAAGTTAAAAAGAAACTAAACATAGTATCTTGTTGTGTTCATCTGTATCAATGATAAATGACATATTGTCCTCGCAACTTTGTTGTCAAAACCGAAGATAGAAATGATCTCATATTCATATTTAATATGCTACCTCCGTGTTAATTATAAGACCTTATAGAAATAAATTCTTATAATTTGGATTGGAGGTAGTATAAATTAAAAGCACCAAACAAGGCTAGGGGGAAATCTGATTTAAACTTGCAAATATCAATATATTTAATCACACATGTGCGTAACATATCCATATTCGTTGCTGTATATACGATCTTCTGGGGTCAAATGTTTTCTAGAACTTGTCAGACCAATGCGCTTTATTGATACTTCAAAAATCAAAAGCTTTGCTTGTGAACTGAAAGCCTCTTCAACGTTCAATGTTCGCAACCTCTCCTCTTTTCATGTCATCCTTTTCTTTCTTTTTTTAACTGTTAAATTAACATATTTTAACAATTCAGATTTTAATTTTTATAAATTATTTATTAAAAAATTTTAAAAATATTTCGTGTACTTGCAAATCATTAGAATTAAATTTTAATATAGTTTGTAATTTATTATTTATTTATTTTTATAATTTAATATTTTAATAATAGTTTTAAAAAAATTAAAATCCGAACCGTTAAATACTAATCTAATAGTTAAAAAAAAAAAAAAAAGAGAATGGGAAGAGAAGAGAAGTGGCTCTAAATTCAACGCTGTCAATAAGCACTAACAACTGACAAAATAAAAACATGGTTTCGACTTTCAACGAGGTAAGCCTTTTTTTTTGGGGTGTATATAGGCTCATCTGAAACTCCTAAAGTACATAGGATATGCTCATTTAAATTAATTTAATAATCATAAGGTCGTCTTTTAATTATTTTATTAGAGAGAATTAAACTCTCACCAAAAAGAAAATTGATGGCAAAAAAACGAAAAAGAAAATGAGTGAGGGTATTTCGTTAAATAGACAAATCAAAACAGTGTCTTTAAAGTATTCCAATCTTTTTCAGGTAGAAAAAATCCAATTTTTTAAAATATCCCTTCTTTAGGTACATTTGACTTTCTTAATGAAGAATAATAAACCAAATTGGTGGGGTCACGTAATTTTTTATTTGTGTTGGGATATTTTTTAGATAAGTACGTTAATTAATTACTCTTAATAACATTTCGTAAAATAACTTATGAACGAAATATAAAATCCTTCTAAAAATTTACTTATAAAAGTAAACGGAGGGATCAATTATTATTTAGTCAGTTCCTTTTTACTTGCTTCCCCCTTTAAAAAATCTTGTCATATATAATTATTAATCTGTGGGTGTTTTTTATAGTTTAATATTACATACTTTTCACATTATATAATATATCCTATGTAGCGAGGTAGATATATAATGTTTTTAATTGGTAAATTAAATAAGAAATAATATTAAGAGAAAGATGATGAAAGATATGGAAAGACAAATTAAAGCAAGCTTATACTAACTCCAAAAGTTAATTATTTTCCAAAATTGAAACCATGTCTTGTTTTCAGTGATAACGTTAATTCATGCCTTCCTGATGAACCAAAAGGACCCCAGCCAATATTTTTCTCTTAAACAATTATATACTGCCACTGATTTCTGGACTATATACTATAGTGTGTATTTATTTCCTTCTTCTTCTTCTTCTTCTTCTTCTTCTTCTTCTTCTTCTTATCCAAGTATATATTATGGCTAGCTTAAGCGATAGCAGAGTTGAAGTGAGAGATGGTGTGAAGGGTGCGGTATTAATGGTGATGGTTCAGATTATATATAGTGGGACGAACGTATTGTATAAAATGGTAGAAAATCGTGGAATAAGCATGACTGTGGTCGTTGCCTACAGATTTCTCTTTTCAACCTGCTTCATTGTTCCTCTTGCTCTCTTCTTTGAAAGGTTCATCACCCTTCCATCCCTCCCTACAAATCTATTCTCTTTTTATGAATATTACTTTAATTTTTAGAGTTGATATCGTACGTTTTCAATTCTAATGTTAGCTGTTATATGTTTTGCACAGGGAAAGCCTCAAAGCAATTAATGGGACAGTTCTATTCCAAGCTTTCCTTTGTGGGTTATTTGGGTATATATTAACTACTGTACTATCAAATGCTTAGCTTGGTCGAGTACATATTATAGTTCATTACTTTTTCATCTCTCTAATTTCCAAACATGAAACATTCTCATATCAACATTTTCAGGGGATCCTTGCTGCTAAATATGTTTCTTTATTCCTTGAGCTTCGTATCAGTATCTTACGCCACAGCTATAATGAACCTTGTTCCTTTAGCTACCTACATCTTGGCTGTCTCATTTAGGTACGTAACTCTACTTAAACCCATCCCCCCCCCCCCCAAAAAAAATTCACACATATATAGATATGCATCTGTGAGTGCTCCTGTGAGTTTTGGAATCTCTTAAAAGACACTTTGCCTAAAGCGCAGAGAAAAAGAGACATAGAGAGTTGGATTTCACTGGAAAAAAGTCATCCTTTTCTCTATCCTCCCCCTCTCTTCACCTGTGCACTTGAAGATAAATTCAGAGATCCACAACCACATGTGCGCATTATGTGAATGAATCACCAAAGTTTTGATAATTCAAAAGTGGGAATTAATATTATATAAATTTATCAGACTGGAGAGGATGAATTTAGGAACAGCAGGAGGGAAGGCAAAGATAGTAGGGACCCTCACAGGAATCTGTGGAGCCATGATCCTTACTTTCTCCAGAGGCGAAAGAATCCAAATCTGGACGACTCATATTAATTTGATGAAGCACCACGTGGCAGCATCACATGGCACCTCCATTACTCCTACCATTTGGGGCTGCATGCTTGCTTTTGTTGCCTGCCTTAGTTACTCCTTGTGGTTGATAGTCCAGGTCATCATTATATATAATCTTAATGGGCATTTTCTTTTGCTAATTTTTTCTGCAATATCTTCTTCTTCTTCATGTAAGATGTTAAAGCAAATAATGAAACTAAACAGGCAAAGATGACACGGAGATTTGCATGGCATTACTCAAGCACAGCTTTAATGTCCATCATGGGCTTGTTCCAAAGTTTCATCTTTGCATTTTGCGTTGAGAGAGACTGGAATCAATGGAAGCTTGCCTGGGACCTTAAGCTTCTCACTGCAGCTTACACAGTATGTCCTTCTCCTTCTTTGTGATGACTTGTTATATATTCATCAGATCCATCAACTGAATCTAAATCTTTTGAAAAAAAAAACACTGTGTAGTAGAAAAAATAGAAATAAACTAATGCTTTGAGTCTTATATCACTGTGCATACCCACTATTTTATTTTCTTCCTACATATGAAGTATTGCTTCAAAGAAATGACTGCAAAAATCTGAGATGATTGGCGTGAGTTTAACTTGTTTTTTGTTTTCGTAGGGAGTAATTTCTTCTGGGGTGGCTTTTTCCCTAGTAGCATGGTGTGTGAAGAAGAAGGGACCTGTGTTTGTGGCCATTTTTAATCCTCTCATGTTAGCTCTAACTGTCCTGGCAGGCTCTTTACTGCTCGATGAAACTCTCTATATTGGAGGGTGAGTTTACTAATAACTAAAATCTGCTTTTACTTTTCTTTTCACATATTAATGAGATCCATCTACATGTTATTGACAAAATTGTGAGCCTATGAGTTGCACTAATCTATGACTGATATAAATGTTGCCGCAGTTTTTTTTTTTTAATAGGTTTAAAATGCTATGCACAGATATGGATTATTGATCATTAAATGAAAGCTTGTAATATACTACCTCCGGTCCTAATTATAAGAGCCAGTTAACTAATTTGAGGAGATTAAGGAAGTGAGTTGAGTTAGTTATTTGTCCTAAATAGGTGTTGTCTTTCCTAAAATATCATTGCTAATCAAGTGTATTGACTAGAACTGTTATTATTAGAAGGGCTACTTTGGAAAAAAAAATATATAAATATGAAAGACAAAGTGGATTGGGATCTTATATTTAGGACCAAATAAAAGTCAAACAGGGTCTTATATTAAGAATCAGAGTAGTAATAATCACAGTCATGTTGGGAAACTAAGATCTTTATTAATGTGCATGGTATGTACAATGAAGGCAATGGATCCAGATGGACATTTATAGTTAAGATCTTTCTTAAACTAAAAACTCAGAGTGCAATAAAAATCCAAGTCTGATTGTTAAGTGCTTGGGTATAAATCCAAGCCTAATTGTTGCTGCGGGTTTGTGTGCAGTATAGTAGGGATGGTGTTGATTGTGAGCGGATTGTACATGGTGCTATGGGGTAAAAGCAAGGAAGCAATTAACAAAGCATCATCAGAGAATTCAACAGCCTCTCTTCCATCTGATGATTCCATCCAGATTATAAGTCAACCAAATCCTACAAAGTGATTATTTGCTTCTTTTTCTGCTTTTATCCTCTCTTCTGCTTTGATCAATTTCCTTCTGGCATTGCTCCCAAATAAAAGTATTTATAAATATTGATGTTAGTTGAGATAAAAGTCTCTTCAAATACTTACTTTATATTCCTTAAATCACGATTAAAAAAAGATGCTTTTGAAGAATCCCATCGCTATTTCAATTGAGCATTTAAACGATGGATGGTAGGTACAGCATTAACGGTAATAGTTCACACTGTTAAAAAATGACATCAAATGATGATGCCATAAGCTTCACTGTGTTGCCTACACATTCCTCTTCTCCTGATCAGCTATTTTCTGTGCTCCTCTTGATAGATGGCTCAATTCCTAAACAAAATTATCATTTTCTGGGGATCTTTACTACATATATAATCTCTATGATCAACCATTGGTCTTGCTAGTTTGCACGTCGCTTGAGTTTGGATTCGTATTATGGCTACGATCAACTTGAGGTAGACAAAAACATAAACATATATGTCTGATTGATTCAATAATAATTTTAATTTGGTTATTAATTCCTTTTTTTTTTCAAATTGAGAAGTTAATCAGAGTTGATTTCTCATCTCCTGATGGAAAGGTTGGTGAATCCAAAAAAAAGGTGAACTTAAGTCAAAGGCATATAGATATCTTTAGATGCCACAAAGCCCGCACCATCGTCTGGGTGGTGTAGTTGGTTATCACGCTAGTCTCACACACTAGAGGTCCCCGGTTCGAACCCGGGCTCAGACACTAGTAACGTTTTCCTTTCGGTTTTAAGTACTTTTTTTTTTTTTTTTTCCAGTTCCAATTTTGACCTTAGAATACTGCTAGTAGACGGAGGAAGAGAGCACTGTAGTTGGCGTAGGGAGAGGAGCAGGGAATCCTAGGCTCAAAGTAGTAGGTACTAAGAAGGTTCAAGATTAATGAAGCCTGAAGCGTCGTCGAAGTCAGACTCTGACAAGCTTAAAGGCAAGCAGGTCCCATGCCTGCAAAGCAAACCCTAACTAAAAAAAATACATATATATATAATATTTATATATCATGGCAGTTTGTGGGATGCCTGTGGACGTTACCTTTATTGCATTTGCCTCTCATGATGTTGATCCCTTTTCTTTTCGTTACTTTTTTTTAACTAAAGTCTAAAAGATCTTGGCCAAAAAAAAACCGCCTAAAAGATCAAATTAATGTCTTAGGATTTAAAAAGAATGGATGAGATGAAACATTATCATTGATACCAGAATTAATTTCCAAAAGGATTGGCAGGTGGTGATGAAATACAATCCAAAAAGCAATCGTGGGATCTTATGTTTTTTCGCAGATTTCTCAGCCAAGTCCTCTCATGACATGAGGGCTGTTTTTGTGTTCTTAGTCAACCTTTGCCTTGTGAGCAATGGGCAATGGTGGAACTGTGATGAGGAATTATTGCAATACTTTTTTTGTGAATAAAAAATTTGGTGAGTTGAGTTTTCAGGGCTTGTCAGAAAGCATGCTTTCAAATTTAAAGAATACGTATGAAGATATTTATAAATTATAAATTGCTTATCAACAAAACTCTTGTCAACAATGAGACGAGTCGACTCGTTACTAATTGAATAAACTTTTATTAATAAAATTGTTGTAGTTTTATATTAAGAAAGAAAAATCACAAAAAAAGATTGTTGAAATAAAAAAATTAGATACAGGGACCCGTTCACAAAAATTATTGTGAAAATTCATATCATTGTTATCAAAACTCATCCTAATATTATCATGAGTCCCAATTTGTAATTTTTTTATTTTGGTGGTCTTGTTTACCATTTTTCCTATTAAAAATTGAGGGACGTGCAAAATGGTTTTTATGAGATATTTTTATAAATTTTAATTATATGATATTATTTTAATTATGATTGGGTTTCCAATTCAATTCAATTACAATTAAATCGCTAACCCTTAAACTATTGCATTGTTTGGTTCAATGATCAGCTCACTTTTTTATTAATATAGACAATAATTAATCTTATTTTTAAAAAAAATCTCTATGTGGGAGAGTGAGGGAGGGAGAATGTATTTAATAAAGAAGTATTTATAAAAAGATTATAAAAGTTCAAAGAGAAAATTTGTGAAAAGTCCCTATTTGAAAATTTTATTGGGTGAAAGAATTTCATATTTTTTTTTTCATAAAAAAATGCACTCTATAAGATTTTATATACAGAAACTATCGATACTTGAATTCAAATCCTTCTGGCTAATTAAATTTTTAAACATGGACTTTTTACTGATTTTCCTAAATTTAAATACATTAATCAATTTTCATATCCAAACTATAAGCTCATAGCTAATACAATTTATTTATGAGGGTAAACCCTAGAGTGATTAAGAGAATATTCAATTTCACGCACTTGCATGTTTAGGAAACTTTAATTGTTAATTATTGAGGTTTTATATTTATAAAGAACCAAAAAAAATTATTAAAAAAGATAGAAAGAAAGAAAAGAGGGAACCAAATTGATTTTGATTATTCGAATTGGGTTGTGCAAATTTTAATACTTGCAGTCATAATAATGGCAGACGCAATAACCATCCAAAGTCTAACCATTTCAGACATATCCATTCAATTGAATAATTGCATTCATGTGAAACCATCTCAATAATTGCTGACATTTAATTGGAGCATGAAAAATTAAATTAAAATAACTTTTTCCTCTTTAATGGATTGAGTAAATCTTAAGTAATTAAACTTATTAAGTGTATCACTTAGGCATATTAAAAGATGAACATCGTCCCACTCCCACTTATAATTATACAACCAATTATACGATTACTTTATGTTTAAGCTACTGTTATATTATTCAATATTCTTATATTGTAATGTATTGCATGATCTGAAATATAATATTTTGTTAATATATGTTGTTGGGCTTATTATTTCTGACTTAGTAGAGTTTATCTACCTATATAATTTCTAGCATTTTTAAAATAAAATTAGAAGCTTTTTTTGCCAACTAAAATTAGATGTTTTTATTACTTCGTAGCGAGAAATAATTCATAAATATATAGTTGGATAGGTTAGGTACATAGCAATATTATTTAATTAAACTTATTATGACAAAACTTTAACGTTTTTTCATAATTAATTCAATCTATCAATTTATAAATTTTTTTAATTTTGGTAATTGCAAAAAAAAGGGTAGAAAAATATAGGAACAACAAGATCCTCTATACTTTGCGAAACAAAGATTTACTTGCACGTTATCTATAATTTTCTTTTATGCCCTACACGTTATCTAATATGCAAAGTGAGATACAAAACAATTTTGTGAGTAAAAATGTTTTCCATATTTTAAATAACAACAATAGAAATATTAGGCATCTCACGTTTTGATAGAATGATAAAACATTGTTTTTACAAGAAAGGCGTATTGAAATTGTTTCCTTATGTTTAATTTTTCAATTATATGCTAAAATTTTAAAATAAAAATAGTCTAATGAAAAATTGTGCAACTCAAGAGGAAACATGTTGAATCATATCACCTTGTTTTAATTACAACAAAACTAACAAAAATTGTTTTCTAGGGTTTATTACAAAATTTTAAATGACAAAATGATTAAGTTAAAAAAAAAACAAGAGAAAACTTCAGAAACTTTAAAATTTTAACATTTTAAGTCTTAGTATTTTCTTATAAAAGAATCTTGGAGAGCTTTATTATTTTTGCATAAAAATGGATTTTTACCCTATGATAAAATCATAACATGCTAATTGTGTCACTTAACAGGTTAACTATTTTTTTGTTACTTGTTTTTTTTAAAAAAAATCTTTTGAATTTCCACTTTTTAAATTTTGTACTTATTAATGTGGCATCCATTATCTTAAAATGAATCTTACTCCTTAAAAACCACATATGTAACACGTTAACTTCTATACATCTTTTGTCACCCAAAAAAAAAAAAAAACTCCCATACATCTTTCATTATTCTTCATTTTTCTTTGTACAGCTTTTAATGTGTTAAGGCCCCCACCACGTTAACCAAAACTTTAAAGTCAAAATTTAACACTATGTAAACTTTCATTTAACACGTTAATGAGCTTATTATAAATTTTTTTTAAAAAATCTTTACACTGCACTTAGTCAGTTTCATTCCACGTAGGAAAATTTACTTCCAGTTTTTACAACGCGTTAACGAACTTGATTTTCCAAAGATTGCCCTCACGTCTCCTTATACAATGTGTTCATCTTCACATTTAACGTAAAAGAATTGCAATATTTATAAGAATGAAAAGTGCAACCTATAAAATTAAAAAAGAATTAAAATATGGATTAAAAAATATTAGCAAGCAAGTAATTCTTTTATTACAAATTATACTACGAGTCTCACTATTGAGTCGAGTAGAGAATAAGTAGCTATGTTGAGAATTTTTTACGAGTTTTGTCACCTTTCTTACTTTACCTGACTTCATTTGCATTAATTAAAATTTACTTTTTCTGGAAAAAGGAGTTAAAATTTAATTTAAGGACTAAGATATAAATTTATTTTGAAAGCTGTCACTTAGAAGCAAGACATGAAAGTTTTTTTTTAAAGGCAAATTTACCTTAAAAATTTAAAATCGTAATAATATTATTTTTTATACTTAAAAATGCTAACAGTTAATCTTACTATTTTAATGATTAACATTAATTCTAGTTTTTTAACAATAATTTGTTTCCTAAGAATTTTTTGGATGCCTAGTAGTCTGGTACTTTTGGATGGGTAGAAACTTTTAGGACATATTTGCAACTTAATTCTTAATTTAATTTTAATATATTAAATAACTTGGTAAAAAACCTCTAAATAAAAAATTAAATTAAATTAAATTAAGATAAAAATCCTAAATTGAGAAGACATTTTTCTTTCCTGATAAAATTTGAGAAGAGACATTGAAAGAACAAATCCGCGGAAACAGATTGTAATGCTGGGGTGAGTCAGCGTGGACGGTGGTACAGTTTGATCTCGCACTGTGTCCGTTCCTTGCAAGCTTTGTTTCATGGATGGGAAAAAGTCAAACCCCATTCGGTCATCGGCATTCATTACCATGTGGGTATATTAAATTAAATCCATTCATGAGGAAAAAAATAAAATCTTTTCAATGTTTTCGAGTTAAACCCAAGGAATAAGCACTCAAAATAATGATCCCATGTTAATAAATTAATAATTATCAATAATTAATAATTCAACTTCTTAAATCATAGCTTTTTCCACCCCTGGTTCGTGAACTAGATTTAATGCAGCATTGGAGTCCGGGTATGAGAGAGAGAGAGAGAGAAGGGCGAAAGGAAAAGCGAATGAGCTGAGAAGGGATCTCGCTCGGTGAAAGAAAATATATTTAAGGATTTTGACCAAAAGGCTCTTGAATCTCTCTTTTTCACATGATACTGCTTTAGGTTTCATCTCTGCAAGTTGTGTTGTGCTTGAGCCACAGATCTCTTCAATCTGGGTGAGTTCATCTTCTTACCCAAGTTTTCTTTTTCTTTTTTTTTGTTCTCCTTTATTTTTTCCCCTCTTTCTTTCTTTTCAACTGGAACATTCTCCATAGGTTTTTGCTTCGAATCTAAACCTTTTTTTTTTTTTTCTGGAACTGGGGTTGTGTTGGAATGCTCGGGGAGGATGCTTGATTTTGGTTTTTACGAGTCCTTCTCTATCTGGGAAGTGGGTTTGATAATGGAGGCAAATCTAGAGTGGGATTGTGGGTTTTTGACCTAAAGAGAGCTTTTGAGTCCTGAGGTTTCTGATCCTGACATTTTCTTCAGATTTGCAGGTAAAGAGCGCCTTCTGGTCCTGCCATGGAGATTTTAGCAGCTTAAGTTACATTTACATCTAGGTCTTGAGAGGTAGTCTCAGTCTCTCCCAAGTCTGTTTTACTTGAGCTCTTTGACTTCTTTTTGGTAAAATAGCCAAGAATATGAAAGATATGGAAAGTATTTTTTTTCCCGTAATTTGCTAAATTTAACTTGCTAAATAGTAGCCCTGAAATTTTTCTTTTTGGGAAATAATTTGTGTACGCAAGAACACATCCTATGTAAATCCCTGACAGGAACTTAGTTATAAGGTTGCATTTAAAGGTAAAATAATAAGGTAACAATATTTAACACTGTTAGCTATGTATTTGTCACTATCATCATGCTTATTTTCTATTGAAGTGGTTGATGACAATGGGAAATTGCCAATAATTGACTTCAGATATTTTATTATCCTCTGTTATTTGACTCATCGTCTGAATATATGGATTTTTAAACGGAGATTCAAGATCTTAAAATGTTGATCAGATGAAGTGATGATAGTTAATCTGGATTCTTAAATATTAGTGATTATTTTTCTAAGGAAGAGAAGGATAATAGAGAAAGGAAAAGGAATTATTATCTTTGTGTTGAACTGAGTCTCTCCTTTCCATGGCAGCCATATGTGCATGGTGCTCGTATATAGTCCACCAGAAATTCTAAGAACAGAGATATATAGTGGTCTTTCTGGGACTGTGCTGGAAGATGTCATTCCGAAGCATAGTTCGTGATGTAAGGGATAGTTTTGGGAGCTTATCTAGGCGGAGTTTTGATGTCAGGCTGACTGGCCACCACCGAGGAAAGTCTCATGGATCTTTTCAAGATTTGCATGATCAGCCTCTAGTTATTCAAAGCAGCCGCTGGGCAAGCCTGCCCCCAGAATTGCTATATGATGTTATTAGAAGGCTAGAGGAGAGTGAGAGCACATGGCCTGCTCGAAAGCATGTTGTTGCATGTGCTGCAGTTTGCCGATCTTGGAGGAACATGTGCAAGGAAATTGTGAAGAGCCCAGAATTCTGTGGAAAGCTTACTTTCCCTGTGTCCCTGAAGCAGGTTTGCTTCACAACGTCTGCATTACTGATTGACCTGTTTTGGTTGACTTATTGGTTACATTTCTGCGGAAGTAATACTTTTGGCTGAAGCAAAACCCTGATTCTTTTTCATTTTGACCTTTCAGCCTGGACCAAGAGACGGAATGATTCAGTGTTTTATCAAAAGAGATAAATCTAATTTAACATACCATCTATTCCTTTGTCTCAGCCCTGGTAAGTCTTCCTTTGATACATTTGGTAATCTCTTCCATCCACATGCAATGACGTGCATACAGATCATGTTGTTTTCCAAGTTGTGATTCAACTGTTGTCCCTTTTTTCCTTGTTTTTTCAAACTTCCAAATGACATCCTTAGAGATGCTTAAAGCATGGCATGTATACATTTGACATTAAGTCTCATATCAAGGTTTTTGACTCAACATGATCATGAATTGCTTAGCAGCAAATTCATACTGTTGCTTCTCTTGATGCCTAAAATGGTATTATTTGGATGCCGAAGGGAAGTAGTAGAGAAGAGTTTTGAATGTGTCTTACTTCTGTCGTGTTTAAGTTTGTATAGCATTCTCTCTTTTGCTGGCATTCACTCATGTCACTGAACATGAGAATCAGAGAAAGCTAGAATATGTCTGCATGTAATTTGATTTTTCCTACCATATTCTAATGCATGCTGAACTCATTGCTTATGCCTTTTCTTTCCTTTTTTAATATATTTTTGTTTCTTATTCTTTATTGCAGCTTTGTTAGTTGAAAATGGAAAATTTCTTCTATCTGCCAAAAGGACGAGAAGAACAACTTACACAGAGTATGTTATTTCCATGGATGCTGACAACATCTCCAGATCAAGTAGCACTTATATTGGAAAGCTGAGGTTAGTTCACTACTCTTATAAAGTGTTTAACATCGTTATGCTATTCTGTTTAAAACCGTTTCCTGAACTGACCTAAAAGGAAATTCTTATGGATTTAAACTTTGTCTTGTATCCTTGACCCCATATATGATAAAACTGTTAAATTGAAAAATCTGTGATCATGACTTGTGAGTAATAACCGAAGAAGACGATCTTTCATTTGGCATATGCTATCTCGTGTATGAAGGGTATTTTAGGATATTTTATTTGTTGTTTCAATAAATTATTTGCCAATTTTTCTGAGTTCGTTTACTAATCATGTTTATTAATTTTTTGTTGTTCTGATTTAAAATTGTTGGTCCCTCACACTGATTGGGAATGTTCTTTTGCTTTCATTCGTCAGATCAAATTTTCTTGGTACAAAATTCATAATATATGATACACAGCCACCATATACTACTGCCCAGATACCCCCTCCGGGGACCGGAAGGACAAGCCGAAGGTTCAATTCCAAAAGGGTCTCACCTAAGGTCCCATCTGGTACCTACAACATAGCTCAGGTGACGTATGAATTAAATGTGCTGGGGACACGAGGCCCAAGGAGAATGCACTGTATGATGCATTCAATTCCAGTCTCTGCACTCGATACAGACGGCACAGTTCCTGGCCAGCCAGAGCTGCTTCCTTGTGCCCTTGAGGATTCATTCCGTAGCATTTCCTTCTCAAAGTCTCTAGACCACTCCATTGAGTTCAGTAGTGCACGATTTTCTGACATTGGGGCATCCTGTAGCAATGATGAAGAGGATAACAAGATGAGACCCTTGGTTCTGAAGAACAAACCTCCAAGATGGCATGAACAGCTTCAATGCTGGTGCCTCAACTTCCGAGGACGGGTGACGGTTGCTTCTGTCAAAAACTTCCAGTTGATCGCGGCCACCCAGCCAGCTGCTGGCGCACCCACACCATCTCAGCCGGCCCCACCAGATCATGATAAGATAATTCTGCAGTTTGGCAAAGTTGGGAAAGATATGTTCACCATGGACTACCGATACCCTCTATCTGCTTTCCAGGCTTTCGCAATATGTTTGAGCAGCTTTGACACCAAACTGGCTTGTGAATAGACCAATCAAATCATGAAGCAAAGCCTCTGATAAGAGAGATGGTATCCTTCCCTTTTCTTTTTCTTCTCTCTCTTTCATTTATTTTTTTCTTGCTAGTTGCTACCATTGTGATCAGAATTGGCCATTGTCATCACTCTCAGTTGTATTATGACTCCATTGGTCTAGTGCAAGCCCGATGATGTAGCAAGGGTTTTAGATCATTCTTAACCCCAAAATGTTCCCTTAAATCTCTGGCTCTTCGAACAATGTATCAGAAATTAATTTTAGGTCGTGGTTGCTTCCTTCATAGTCCTGATGTGAATGAACACTCCTTTAATATGAATGTAGGCTCGCTTGTGACTCGCTAATCAGTGTGTTGGTCACACATAATTCAAACTTCCTTATAATATTTAGCTTTTATCTTTTACTCTTGTGAGAGTCTTTAAGGAAGTTTCAAATTATGATCAAATAAATAATGCTTGAGGATGCATGTCTGGAAGTTTAAAGTGTTGAGATTTTTTGGAAATTGTGGTGGTTTGGAAATTAATGGAGGTTGGATGTAAATTAAGAGTTTCTAATCTGAAGTTTGGATACTAGGCCATTGAAAACTAGCGACGGTTGAAATGGATTGTTCTTCATGGACAAGATCTAGGCAGTTTTTATTTGTTTGCTTTTATTTATTTTTAATATACAGTGATCCGTTTCTATATAAATGTAGCTTCGCAATCTTGTGTATAAATTAAATTGAGGGTCCTGTGCATAGTTCAAAGATGAGTTACCCTTTTATGGCTTATGAAGGGTGACATTTGATTTTATAGATTCTATATTATACATAGGTGTCAATTTAGAATTATTACAATTTAATATCATTGTATAGAGTTTATTTAAAGAAATCATTGGTAAGATGTAAAAAATCAAGGGAAATTTTGTATGAGGTTTCAAGAAAAGGAAAAAAAAAAAATTATAAAAAAGTTCTAATAATTAGTGAGTTGTTATTTTATACACTAAAATTTGTTATTATGTTGTTATTGGCATTTTTTCTGTAATTATATATATTTTTAGAATTTTATAGCAATTTTCTGAAAAATTCAATCATCAATGAATATATCAGGTTATGGAAGTTATATTGTTTATTAGTCATGAATAACAATTTTTTTTCTAGGACAATTATGGTATGAAAATATCCAAGTTAGATTTTCTATCCACATGATTAAATCATTTCCTCTTTTTTTTTTTTAAAAAAAAGAGGGATTAACAGTTGGGGGAAAAAAAAATCATAATGCCTGTGTATCTTTCTCCAACCCGTCATTATCAAAGCTTATAGAATGTCTAAATTCAGTTAGTTGACAAAGCCCCTTTTATTTTTCCCATTTGAAATTTGAAACACGTGTTCATACATGATTCATTTGATCTGGATCCAACTTTGACAGCCTTTCTTCTTCACGTAATTATCACCAAGATGTCAATTCATTGAAGTATGGTCTCTTACGGCAGTAAGATTTTTTCATTAAAAATGATTTAGACTATAATGGATGAAATTGTCAACACAATTGACATGTATTGTTAACTGGACTTGAAATATTTGGTGGGGAAATAGTAAATACTACACGTGAAATGGTTCGGAAAACAACTTTCTGAGAAGTATTATAAATTAAAATTATTTAAAATGACAACAATTAAAAAAAAAAAAAGGAATCACCAAAAAAGAAAAACCCCAACCTAATCTACAAAATTATGAGCAGGCTGAGTTTCTAGGTGAGCAATAAAGGAAAACACACAAAATAATTGAATTCAAAAGTTTATTCCGTTAAATGAAAATATTTTAAAAATTTTAATAATGCAATCTTTGATCAGGCCTCCTTCTTCTTTTCCCCCTATTATTTCTCCAATTATATATATATATATATTAGTCTATATACTTATAATTTTAAGAAAAATGATTTTAATAGCTGCTGACTTGATTCTTACCCATCAAATTGTAAACGATTATGATCCTAATAATCTTTTTAATGACGATAGTAAATAAATTTTATTCTATTATTTTTTTATTTTGTAATTTGTAGTGGCTAACATATCTCTTAGCAAGCATCCACACGTCAGTCATAATTAACAAATTATGAATATAAAAATTACTGCATGTTTTGAGAAATTGCAAGTGCCTAATTGAAAAAGAATTACAGGGGACTTGATCAAAAATCAAGTAATACTATAAAGACCGGCAAAATTAAACCTTTTTTTTTTCATATTTTTATTATCAAATTCATGCAGCTGAAAAGAGTAAATAAAAGTGATTATACATATGTGCGTGTGAATTTTAAAATACTATTTTTTATTTTAATTATAAGATACTCCTCTAGTTCTTAATATAAGACATAATTATTGAGTTGATTTTGATTCTAAATATAAAACTTATTTCTCATATTTATCAATTTTTTCTAAATTATCCCTGTAGATACTCTCCCAACTATAATCAAGTAAAAGAAAGAAAAGAGGATATTATGGTGTTTTAAGAAAAACATGTCATATTTCTTATAATTACTTAATTTAATCTAATTAAATTAATTAAATAAGTCTTATATTAAGGATTAGAAGAGTATTATTTATAGTTTATAAACGACTGGAGCTAGTAATAAAATAAGGATTAGTGGAATGGAATATTGATGGAAACTGGAGACAAGTTCATAATTGCTGTCTCTTGGTTGGGTTGAAGAGTCAGGAGTTTGTGTCTGCCAGGCACTGCCTTCCATGATAGCAGCATCTTCTTCCTTCATGGATAATGTTTCACGCAATCATTTTCTTTTAAATTAAATTAAATTAAATTCCTTAAAAAGTCATGGCTCACACATCTGGAACAATTTTGATTCCCTCTAATTTCCTATTTTCATTCTTATCTTTTTTTAACGATTCTTATTAATTTATTTTTGTTGTGACGTGCCAGTTGACTTCAATATTTTTAAAACTTGTTGTGATTTATTTATTAGTACAACAAGCAACATGACACGACATGCAACAAATTAAAATAGATAGTCTTTTTTTTTTTTTAAAGAAAATTAGATTGAAAAAAAATCACATTTTTTTCGTTCTAATTTAAGCTTTTGCTGTTTATCATCTAGTGAGATTAATATAAATTATAAAACAGGAACAAGTTTATTGTGGGGGAAATCACACTCTAGGGCCCTGGTAGAAACATATTTATGCTTTTGGACTTTGCCTTAAAGAAATTACAATAAAACTTTGGGAGAGAAAAATATCCATATATATTTTTTATTACAATCAATTTAAACACATTCACACGTACAAAGTATAAACATAATAATATTAGGTGCGAACTCAAAACCTCATTTAAGTATGATAGATAGTATTGTTACTAAAAATTAAAAATTAGTAACGAACATGGAAAACTAAAATTTCAAATGATCCATATATTACATAGTTTTCTGTAATTTATAAGTGAAAAATATATAATTCCCAACTCTAGTTTTATAATACACAGCTGTAATTATATCAAATATATCAAATTTGAGACTGGATCGGTGAATTGGTTTATTAATTATTACTGAGCTTCATCCCATAATTTGAGTGAATTTGACATACTATAATTAAAAGTTTTGCCTTCTTTTTTTTTGGTGCATAATTACATGCATGAGTCATCACAAATTTAGATTTGATGTAGATAATTTACTATTCTTTCTGTTCTTAATATAGGACCTAATTATTGAGTTGATTTTAGTTCTAAATATAAGACATATTTATCATATTTATAAATTTTTTCTAAACTACCCCTATAGATACTTCCTTAACTATAATCAAGTAGAAGAGCTAGGGAGAAAGGATATTAAGGAAGATGATTATGATGTTTTAGAAAAACATGTCATATTTTTTATAATTAACTAATTTACCTAACTTTCTTAATGTAATCAACTTAATTAAATATGTTTTATATTAAGAACCGGAGTATCATGAATTGCAGTTCCACAAATATAAATACAATACTGTCAGCACTTCTGTTATGAAATCGTTTGCTTTAAAAGATCTCCCATGAAAGAATATTTATGGAAGAACCGGTTCTTTTTCCCATATGTTTAACGACTTCACTTTTCAGGATTCACAAATCGGAGCTAATAGAAACAAGGGGAAATTTCACTGTAGGACCGCAGAAGACAAATAATTCAAAGAGCCCCAAAACTTTCTGAAACCTCACTGCAGGACCAAGGGACCAATATGATATTAATTTTTAGAGTGAGATTACAATAATACCCCTCCCTTTTTATTTTATTAAAAAATAAATATTTACCGGAGTTACTGTTCCGGCCACCGGAGGTCGGAGGTCCGGCCACCGGCGCTCAGGTGGCCGCCGTCGGGGTCCGGTCACCGGTGGCCGCCGTCGGGGTCCGGTCACCGGTGGCCGGAACAGTAACTCCGGGGGACCTCCGGTGGCCGAAGTTTTTTGTTTAAAACAAAGTGGCCAAAGGGAAGGTTTGAACCCAGGACCCCTTGGCACACCAAAAGACTTGTAACCACCAAGCCAAGCAACCCATTCAATCATAAAATGCAAATAAAACTATATATAAACAAATAAACGCAACAGTCCAAATGTAAGTGAACAAGTGAAATTAGACGATTTACAAATGGAATTCAGAAATTTGCAACAAAAATTAGGCAATTTACAAATAACATAATAGAAGTCATAACCCCAAATGCAAGTGTTTAAGTGCAAATGAGTAAGTGAAATTTGAAGATTTACAATAAAATTTTATGGATTTACAACCCAAATTTGGCAAACACAAGAGAATTCACAACCCAAAATGTAAGTGTTTGAGTGTAAGTGAACAAGTGAAATTAGACGATTTACAAGTGTAATTCAACAATTTACAACAAAAATTAGACAATTTACAAATAACATAATAGAAGTCATAACCCCAAATGCAAGTGTTTAAGTGCAAATGAGCAAGTGAAATTGTCGAATTTCACTTGCAAATCTATAAACTTTTGTTGTAAATCTTCAAATTTTATTTGCTCATTTACACTTAAACACTTGTATTTGGGATTGTGAGTTCCATTATGTTATTTGTAAATTGTCTAATTTTTGTTGTAAATTGCTGAATTTCACTTGTAAATCGTCTAATTTCACTTGTTCACTTACACTCAAACACTTACATTTTGGGTTGTGAATTCTCTTGTGTTTACCAAATTTGGGTTGTAA